AAATCACACTTCAAACAAAAATAAGTTGGTAAACAACTTCAGATAAGAAAACAAATTACAAGTATTTCAGAAATTTTATGATTAAGGTTTTAGCTACAATAACAAAGCACCTCTACCTTTTAAAAAATATTTACTAAATTAAAGAGCATATTCTACATGTTCTGCGCAAGACAAAGGCAATGTTTTACTAAAAATACTTAATAGAACCCTCCTGTTCTTTTTTCAGGCCCTCCCTGTAAGTTGCACCTGAAAGTGCAAACATTAAAATTAACTGTAAGGCTTTTTTGTCTGGAGACAGTAAAGACATGTGCTTCTGTACAATGTAGATTTTCAAAATGGAGGTTTTCCATAACAGCACAAAGTAAAATTTGTAGAAAGACATGAAACAATTATTGTAAGACTTGGTAAAAATAAAAAAAAATGGTTGAGCAAACCTGATGTATACTGGTACAAATGTGGGAGATGTAAACATAAAGTGAGCAGGCAAATAACCATATAGGCCCTAATTTCTATGTTTGAAATGACTGAAGGAGTAAACCACATAAGGTCCAGAGTGTTCATAGTTCCTGGGATTTTAGTTCTGTATAACACTAAAAATATACAATATTGTGCTGGGTATTTTGGCACCTAATCTTTGTAAATTTCTTATATATTGATAAGATTTTGGCATGGGAATAGATTTAAAGACATAACTCAATACTGCATGATTTCAGGAAAGGTCAATTGGTACAAGTGATAAGCACATTTTAAATGTTGAACAGCAAGAATCTTTTGCTAAGTGTCCAAAACAGGTTGATCGTAACCCAAGCATAGAGGTTGTAATTCCATCAAACTTGTGGCCTGATAAAACTGCTTTCCAATACTCCTATGGAAGCTTCATTAGACTTATTCACTAAGCCAACATGTTGGCTACTATGTATGACAAATTAGGTCCTGTTTCAAGTTCCACTTCCAAGGCAATGACATCAGGCACCCCAGTTTTATTGAATGCAACAGTTGTTTCTATGACCATTGGAGTCTTTGAAGCGCAGCCGCATTTTAGGACGATATTTCTCCAAATACAAAAGTTGCTTGCTGTTAAAAGCTCCACGCCGCTTTCTGGATGGAGAAAAACAAAAGATGAAGCAACTAAAGCAAAATCCCTCTGTATTTCCATTTACCATGTTATAGGTAATTAATTATTATCTCTCTTGTGGCAATTAATCTTTTGATTAGTATGCTGTGACTTAATGCAGAAATATGGATAGGCATACATGTGTAAATGAAAAAAGGGTAGTAAAAAGTTCAAAATCTTGGGTGTTTAGTTACAATAGTCAAAATTTATATATCCATTTACATGAGGTGTATGAAAAGACAAATTTATTGGATTAGAACCTCTGTAATACGAACAATTACATGAAATTCAAAAAAGGTAAGATCTTTATTTCCTGGCTTTAATACTGTCTTAAAAATGAACTTAATGGTTAGGTGGACCGTGGGGGAAAAATTGTAATATAATTAAACTCACTAACGATGAAAAAAAATTCATTACACACTTACTGTCTTATGAACTGTACTGCATCTTCATATTTCATTCCACCTTCAATTAATGCTAGGGCAACAAGCACTGGAGCTCTGGTAAGGTAAGAATTTTGGTAAATCACTTAAAAAAAAAATAAAATCCTAGGAAATTCAATACTCCAAACATTCCCCAATCCAAAAGTACTATAATTTACTACCCTTCCTATGTAATACCTTATAATAAATCTTGACTTCATGTTAAAAAATTAATAAAGTATCAGCATTTTCCTACCAAACCCAGATTTTTACCTGGAACCAAAAATGAAATATGCCTTGAACTGTTGCAAATAAGTCTAGAAATTAAGATTTGTATTATTGGAGGGCAATTTTGAAAAAATTTAGGAGGGTAAATCTTGATAAATGCAGACAATTTTTTCCTGAATTCCAAGCAGTGAAAAGTATATTCCATTAAAAAAAAAAATTGTTTTTAAAGGTCACGAACTCCTCTCCTAAAGATCTTCTGCAGGGGCGCCTGGGTGGCGCAGTCGGTTGAGCGTCCGACTTCAGCCAGGTCACCATCTCGCGGTCCGTGAGTTCGAGCCCCGCGTCGGGCTCTGGGCTGATGGCTCAGAGCCTGGAGCCTGTTTCCGATTCTGTGTCTCCCTCTCTCTCTGCCCCTCCCTGTTCATGCTCTGTCTCTCTCTGTCCCAAAAATAAATAAATGTTGAAAAAAAAATTAAAAAAAAAAAAAAAAAGATCTTCTGCAAATGTTTGCTTTAACCCCCCTGCCCCCCAATCACTGGGCCATCAGTGTTCATTTTACTTCCCTCCACTAGAATAGAACTTTTTTTTTTGGTGGAGGGCATGGAGGGCAGTGGTAGTGATGCACAAATCTGGACATGAATATTTTGGTATTACTGGGTAAGGAGTTCTCATTGAATCAGAATTCAGGATCAAGCACTCTATCAAAAGCACACCATATGCAATGCAAATTACCTTAGAAATGATTCATAGTTCTTTTTCGCAATGAGTTTGGACCATGACTCTAATACCATTGATATAACCTAGCACACACGATTAACTCTGTAAATAATTGTGCCCACAGAGACAAGTGTAAATTACAACTATAGTGTCTGTTAGTTCCAGACTGGAATAATGTACTGGAATACATTATAGTTACATTCATTTATCTTTTTAAAAAAATTTTTTAAAAAATGTTTATTTATTTAAGACAGAGAGGGACAGAGCATGAGCAGGGGAGGGGCAGAGAAAAGAGGGAGACACAGAATCCGAAGCAGGCTCTAGGCTCCGAGCTGTCAGTACAGAGCCCAATGCGGGACTTGAACCCACAAAGTTGAGCTGATGTTGGGTGGTTAACCAACTAAGTCACCCAGACACCCCCACCTACTTTTTAGTTTTAATATGTAATGTAACAAAGCAAAATGACTCAAAAAATGATAATGGAGTCTTTACTGGAATCAAAATCAAGTTTTTACTAGAATTAAGACCAATACCATCAAATGGATTTAAGAAATTCTCTTACCTCCCAAGACCTGCAACACAATGAACAGCAATACAACAACCAGGTTCTTCACGAAACTTAATTTTTACAAGACTTAACCAGTCATCAACAATCTGGTTGGATGGTGGTGCACCATCATCAAAAGGCCAATCCTAAGTCAAAAGAATATTTAAACAGTTTAGATTTTTTAATAAAATACCAAACTAGTAATTCTAAGTTTCTAACACTCCAATGTCTTCAGAAGCATTTTAGTATGTCTAAACATGTGTTTTATGAAACCCTACTGTTAATGAAATGCAAATAAATGCTGAATCTTTATAAAGATCTCATTGCTTCAAAGCTTTACTTAGCTTTCACCTTTACTTAGAAATTAAGATAATGCATTCTCTTGTAATAACTTAAAAAAATTAGGCATTTTGAAGTTGGTCATTTTTTTTGTAGCACAGTATCATAAACACATAGGAACTATTATATACTTACGAGAACATGGATGCCTTCTTTCTCTACAAGAGTAGTGTCATAAGTTGCTTCACATACTCTTACTATTGTGGTAACACCATACTTCTTAAGTTCCTGGATAAAACATACATAAAACACACTTAATAAGTCTTTACAACAATGTTACTATTGCTCACCAACTGTCCAACAGGTATTGCTAGTTAACAGAAATTCATTCATGGAATCACTGATATAACCTAGGTATGTTTAATAGGGAAGTGAAATAAATCAATGTATCATTTTTCATACCCATCCACTTTCATGACTAAACTCTGGGAAGTGAAATCTTGTTTTAAGTGACAATACCAGAGCAGCATAAAAAAGGGGAAATACTAAACATCACGTATTTTTAACAAATGAGACGTTAAAAAAAATCCTATGGCCCTTCATACATGGAAGTTGTTTATAGTCATGGTAACACAAGCTGGATGGAGATCAAGTACTACCAAAAGAGGATTAGAAGCAATTCAGGGACAAAGATAAATAAAATAGAACCCAAAGGAATCACTCATGACTATAAGTAATCTGACCTGACATGATTACAACATTAGTTCCTTAAACTTTTGCTCATTTGCAGTACATACTGTAATTTAGAACCTTAGAAGTAAATTCAAAGACTCTAAAATCCCGAAACTACAGTGTAAAAAAACCAACATCATTTAAAACTACAGGGTATAAGACTCATAATCCATTATTACTAATTATAATTGGTAGCTAAAAATTGGCTTCTAAACATCAAATAGGGTCCAAAACATAAGCTAACTTTGGTTATGATATTAGTCATTAGGCTAAGCAGATACATGAAAAATGTCTACGTGGTAGCCTTCCTCCTATAAATTTCTTGTGAAAACCATACTGTTATACCGCCCTCACAGAAATTTAAATAAGCAAACTGTGAGGCATGAACAACTAAATTATCTTATTATAAATCCAAACTAATTCAAGTACATGTCCTTCTTTAGATGTAAAAAATAACCTAAAGGGAAAAACCTGATATTTCATTTCTGGGAATTGAACTGCAGTTATACCAACAGAAATTTTCTTTCTTTTTAACATTTATTTATTTTTAAAAGAGAGAGAGAGAGAGAGAGAGAGAGTGAGACAGAGTGCAAGTGGGGGAGGGGCACAGAGAGAGGGAGGCACAGAATCCGAAGTAGGTTCCAGGCTCTGAGCTGTCAGCACAGAGCCTGACAGGGGCCTCGAACTCACAAATTGTGAGATCATGACCTAAGTGGAAGTCGGACACTTAACTGATTGAGTCACCCAGGCGCCCCGCTCCAAACAAAAATTTTCTAAACTACTATTTTGTTAGATAAAAAGCCCCACCACCAAACTGTAATCAATATAAGAGTATCAAACCTTACCTCTATAAATTTGTTTAAGGTCGCATTGGTTGGATTGTGTGTAATGAGAAATCTCATGTTCTTGTATGTGACTTCCACAGGAGCTGGGCGGTTCATTCGAGCCATGTTAATTTTGTTAAAAACACTCAATAAGGTTATGAAAGAATTTTAAAAATTGAAACAGAAATGATGCAAAGAAACTGAGTCTACTTCGATATACTCCACTTGAAATTCTCAGTGCTTTGAGTATGAAGTTGGGAGTAATGGGAAATGAAATGAACCTCCTAACAAGAAGCAGCAATTCTTCAATCCAGTAATACTGAGGCAATAGAAAGGAAGTGCACTGAGGTTTACCCCATCCAGGTCAGAACTCTTGTAAAATGCTCTGTGGATTTCAATTCAACACTCTGTGTCCAGGTTAACCACTCTTATGGGGGCTTCTTGGTGGAGTAGTAATGAATTTCTACAGTTCACTTGTCTGCATAGAGGTCGTGCTGTGCCTGGCAGTAATCTCCACTGCCCTTCAGAAACTCCATAAATGTGTGACCAAGAACACCACAGAACTGCTGTTTAAAAGAAAAAAAGAGAGAGTGAAAAAAATTGTTTTCTAATTCAAAGGAATATGTTACACTTTTGTAGTATTTAAGTGCACAACTATCTTCAAATATGGGCCCAACCCACCTCTTCAACTTTTACTGAAAATACAAAAATATAAGAGTGATTACAGATTAAAGCAATAACCATAAAACAAGCATTCACAAGTAGATTACTTTAAATTGAAATTACTGCCCTAAAACAGAAAACCCTCAAATACTATTGTTACCTTTGGTCAATATCACTTACATGTATTTTTCAATTAATTATTCATTTTAAATAGTTATTGGCTTTACACTGTTATAAGCTCTACCTACGAACAGCTTTCTATGTAGAGTTTTCCAACTAATAAAATATTTTTACATATTGTAAACTTCATGAAAAGTTTGGAAGCTGTTAGTTCTTGCATAGTTTACTCACTCCTCTAAAGACTCAACCTATGTGTGTGTGTGTGTGTGTGTGTGTGTGTGTG